CTTTGAGCAAGTCTAGCACATGCTCCTCTAAGATCGGATAATCCCCTCTGCTCCACGAGCCCTCTCAATCTCAAGAAGGTATCTAAGTTGTTTCAGGTTCTTCATCTCAAACTCTTTGCCCAATCTTACCTTTAGCGACACAATCTCTCTCATCATCACCGATGACTATCATATCATCCATATATACAACAAGTATAGTGGTGTGACCACCATATCATCAAATGAATATTGTGTTGTCGGCATTGATCTGCTGATAGCCCATTTCCTACCATTGCTCTTCTGAACTTGCAAACCAAGTTCGACAAGATTTTTTCAAACCATACAATGACTTCCTCAGTCTTCATACCTTTCCCATCGTCTGGTTTGTATCGAGGTTTGGGGGTATCTCTATGTACACCTCCTCATGCAGATCCCCATGAAGAAACACATTATTCACATCCAATTGGTGTGATATCCATTCATCATTCACAGCAAGAGGGATGTGAGTTTTAACTGTTTTAATCTTCACTACTAGTGCAAATATCTCATCATAGTCAATGCCATACATTTGACTATACATTTTCGCCACCAACTGTGCTTTGTAGTGATCAAATTTTCTTCTGAGGTCTGTTTCACAATGAAGACCCATTTGCATTCAACTTCCTTTTTCCCTGTTGGTAGCAACACGAGCTCCCACATCTTATTTTTCTTGAGAGCACCAAGTTCCTTCAGTATGACAACCTTCCATTTTGGATCTTCCTTAGCTACCTACCAACAATTAGGTAAAGAGATAGTGTTCAAAGATGTCATAAATGATCTGTATACAGATGATATATTAGAGTATGAGATAGACTGAGCAATCTCATGTGAGAAATCAAAACGTAACCCTCTGAGTGTTTGAATGGAACACGATCTAACATTCATATTGTCCTCAAACGGAAATAGAACTTCAAAAAAGTCATTATTTTGATGAAACCATATCTTTCTCAATTCATCTATGTTCATTCATGAATTTCAGTTATGAATTGTATATTTCAGATATCGAGAAATCAAGTCTTCGGAATCATCTTCGACCCCAAGGCAATCCAGAATAACGATCAGAAGAAAAACCCGCATTACTGCGAGAGGTCCTCCTTAAAGTCATGGAAGTGACAGGAGAAGGGAGAGGAATCAAATCGCCTGTGTAATTTGATTTTAAGGTGGATGGTGCAGGTGTCTCATTAGTTGGGGTAGATCAGGACGGGATTTGATGTCACAAGTGGCACGACGAACACTGTTTCTTCATTCTGCCTCCTTGTATACTCTCTCAGCTCCCCTTGAACTTGAATCCCATCACCTTTGGGCTCATTTTTCTCATTGTTCGGCTCATTCTCAGTTTTATTTTTTACATTGTCTGGCTCTTCCCTAGTAAATTCTTTACACACAACAGGACAAGGCATCATTCCCACATGTACAAATCTCTCAACATTACTACTCTTCCCCTCTTGTCTCATACCTTTAGTATAGCAAGTCACCAAAAGGGGAGGTCACCTCCAAGGAATAGTATGGTTTGAAGTTTCTAAATGTCACATCCATACTCACAAAAAATCTTTCTCTATTGGACTCCAACAAACATATATCTTCTGAGTAGCAGAATAACTCATAAAAACACACTTCACGGCTTTGAGATCCAACCTCTCTATTGTTGGTCTATTGTCCTTCACAAAACACACATAACCAAATACCTTCAATGGAAGGATCCTTTTATTATCTCCTTTCAACAACTCACAAAGAGATTGTCATTTCAACATACTTGGGGGCATTCTGTTGATTAATTGAGCGGTTGTCAAAACTGTTTGCCCTCACAAGTGTTTTGGGACATTCATCGAGATCATCATGCTTCATGCTACCTCTATAAGGTGTTTATTCTTCCTCTTTGCTATTCTATTTTATGCTGGTGTATATGGACATGTGGTTTGATGTTGTATCCATTGGGCGGACATGTATTCCTCAAACGCCTTGTTAGTATACTGTCTTCCATTATCAGACCTCAATACCTTCACTACTATATCTTATTGAGTCTGAATCGTTTCGTGAAAGCTTTTAAAGCAAGCAAACACATCTCTTTTTTTCCTCATCAATTATAGTCAATTAACATGAGAAAAAAATCAATGAACGCCATAAAATATCTATAATCATTCATCGAAGTTATTGAACAAGGTTCTTATACATCTGAATGCATCAAATCAAAAAACAAGAACTCACATAAGAGCTTTTGGTATATTTACCAAACGCACAAACATCACTTATAAGTTTTTGTTTATTTATCTTTTCATATAGAGACAAATACAAATGACTCAACAGATTTAACGAAGAGTGTCTCATATGCTTATGATGTAGCAACATCACATCCTCCGCACTCTTAGATCCTCTTACTCCAGCACTATCTACCATGGTTGTTAAAACCGAGTACATCCCCTCTCTATCCAAGAACCCAGTTCCGTTATGTTAAGTGTCAGTTCCAAGTCTCCGACCAGTCCCCTTCTGTTGAAAGATCACCTTAAGAATATCAAACAAAATAATATATTTTGTTTAAGAATAATGACACTATTGGATAAAAGACTCACTGAAAAGGAAGGAGTATACAAAATATTGGACAAAGTAGCAATGTTAAAACCGAGTACATCCCCTCACTATACGCTTACCAACCACAAGATGTGTTGTACCATCAGCGGTCTGAATGCTCTCTAGGACTGCTAGATGAGTATATGAAGATAACTCGATAGCGTTACTTGTCACTTGTCGATTTACTAGAATCAATTATTTATTCTTTTTTATTATGGCGGATATAGAGGCAAGAGTATGTGTATTACGAGTACCTTTGACCGAGTGAGCATAAGTAGCAATGTTGCCCTTGAATGACGATAAGGTGGATGCATCCTTAGTCGGATTATTTGCCATTCTATGCTTCCTCTTCAACATTTTCAGGAACTCGTGATTCTTATAGATAAAGACCACCCCTGTCTTTCTCTCATCCTCTGCAACTATCGGATTTGCTCAGTAGCCCTCTCTTCCACTTCTTTGGCCTCTACAGCCATGACCACGACCTCTAGACTGTCCACATCCTCTTGTCTCTCTCTCTTTGGGTGGCTTTTGACAGTCCTTGCTCAGTTGTCCTACTTCTCCACAATTGTAGCACATGTGGATCTCTCCTTGAGCATCTATCATACCTAAGCTCGAGACAGCCAAAGCAGATCACATACCTGGAAGTCCACTCGGCTCAGAGTATTGCCTCATGTGACTCTCATCCTGTATCATTACGGTGATGGCCTCATCCAGTGATGGGATTGTTGTATGAGCTGGGAGGACCGCTCTCCTCTGATGAAATGTCAAATTCAGATGAGCCAGAAACTGTATAGTCCTCATATGTGCAAAGATCTCACCCTTCTTACACTCTGACATACCACAGCTCAATATAGGTAAGAAGTGATCAAGATCTTGCCATAGTCTCTCCAGCTCTATGGAGTACTCCTGAATCGTTCATCACCTTGCACCACTACCTCTAAGTCACACTGAATCTGGAATACTCTCATGCAGTTCTTGGTCTTAGCACGGGTCTTCTTCAGCTTTGATCAGATGTCCTTCACCTTTTGATTGTCATCCACTGATGAGGCAATCAATGAAATCATTGAGTTGAGAAGCCAGGTATAAAGTAAGGCATGAGTGTTCCTCCACTCATCCTCTGGCTCAGTCTCGACTCCCGTCAGATATCCCTCTAGTCTCTTCCCTCTTAGGGCAGCCTCAATTTGATGCATCCAACTCAGATAAGTAGTTTGTCCATCAAGCTTTAGATCCACATGAGGGAGATCTTGCTTCACCTACTTCAGAGCTTGTGCTGATGTAGTGGTTCTCTTAGAGACGCTAGCTCTCTTTATGAGCCCGATCAAGACCTTCAGAACTTCATAATCCATCTTCTCTAGAAGCTCCAAACTTTTACCTCCTGCACTATCTCCGTCTCCTGACATCTTCAATCACAAGACTAGATCACTCATATCACACTTGAATTTGATAATTCACATCTGTAGGTGGCAATCCCATCATTGCCTTCCAAGTCGGCATGGTGCAGTCCTGTGGTTTCCTTCCCAGTTAGCTCTAATCATGATTGTGTCGCCAATAGACAGGTCTCGATCCCTTCAGTGCCTTCCCGATTAGTTTTATTCACGATTGTATTGATAGAGTCCACGTCGCAATCCCTTCAGTGCCTTCCCAGCTAGCTTTAATCATGACTGGATCATTAAAGTAACGCCGCAATCCTGTCGTTGCCTTCCTAGTTTGCTCTAATTGATATCGCTTCGCGAGGAGAAAGCATAACGAAGAGAAAAATGAGAGTTCCAGCCTGATCCCAACTCCTAGAAAACGGCAGTGGCTAGGTTTAGCTTTCATACCATAAAGAAGTACGTGTTATTTCATTAACCACTTGGGCTTAAATAGGACCTTATAATATTTTATAAATAAATCTCTAGACTTCTTCTATATTTCCTATTTACAATTAGGACTCTAAACTAGATTTAAATCTCAACAATCATCATACAAATCATCAAAATAAAGTAAATAATTTAAAGTAATTATTCGTGAATATCGCCATGCATATATTGGTGGAGAGCTTGAAAGGGATTCGTAGCCAGGAAGTTTTTCTTCTTGTTGTATCTGATTAAAATTGCTTAATTTGTCATACAAATCATTGCTACCCAGCATTGATTGGAACTTATACTTCTCCTCCCCTTTGACCTGCTATTATAGGTTTCCATTTGCTACGCAGAAAAAAACGGAATAGTAGAGCTTTTTTTTCTTTGGTTTAAATGTAATATCTTACTCCAATGTTCTCAGAGAGTATTGTTGTTTCCACTCTTCCTGAATTACTAAACCTCCAAATATGTGAAATGCATCCAAAAGTATAATTTTTCATTCGTTATTTCATATATATTATTAGCTTCTTTTCGTATTATCTTTCTAATGATTCTCTCTAATTGCTTTTACTTCAGGCTCTGGACACCTTTAATACTGCCATCGTATCTCCTATATATTATGTAATGTTCACAACTCTTACGATCCTCGCAAGCGTGATAATGTTTAAGGTAATTTTATTTGCAAATTAGCAACTGCAATTGCAAATGTGTTCTTTTTTTTTTCTTTGCTTCTCATGCTGCAAATATTTTCAATATAAAATCTGTCTTCATTATGAGAAGTTGTGTCATGGTTCTTTACCATGTGCATTGAGAAAACAGTTCCTTGGAAGTGCAACTTCAGATAAACTGTCTATGGTCGCTATCTTCTATATGCTTGACCAATATGTTAAAAATCGAGAAAAGTGTTAAAAAAGTCCCTCAGATTATTTACATGGTGACATTTTGGTCTGAGAGTTTATGAAAGTTTTAAATTAGTTATTGGACTGTTTTAATATGACTTGAAATAGTCATAGAGAGGATTATTTTGACCTTACATTAAAAGAATTTAGGGGCTAAATTAACACTTTTATAGACTCTAGGACTAAAATGAACCTTTAAAAAGTTGAAATATTGGTATTTTTTATGTGATATGAAATATTTTCTTGGTTGCATATAAAATGTAAAGTTTAGGTGTTAGCTATGTAAATATATATATGAATTGGGTGATATGTGTGTAAATGCCTCCAGCATAACCTTAAGCTTGAATGTAAATGTTCAAATTTTAATGCTTTCAGGATTGGGAGGGGCAAAGTGGAGGAAGCATAATCTCTGAAATCTGCGGCTTGATTGTTGTTCTGTCTGGCACAGTTCTATTACATGCTACCAAGGACTATGACAGAACCAGCAGAGGTTCTCTCTCTCTCTCTCTCTAACATTATTCTGAGAGTAAAAATCAAACTGCTCATTTATTCCACCCTCCATATTTCAGGCTTATATGCTCCTATGTCTCCAACTCTGATAACGAGACTCAACAACGGAAATGGTGACATTTCAAAGCCCGGTGAAGATGACATGGAATGCTCCGAGGATATTTGTCTACGAAGGCATGAACTCTCCGAACATGTTTAATTGCTCCAGTTCTCCGCAAGGTTTGGTTTTGGAGTGCTGAAAGCATTGTGTGGACTGTCTAAATTTAAATCTGAAGTAACCACAGTTAATCAGACGCATTCAGAAAACCACAGATGAACCGAATACTATTCTTTCAGTTAAATTGAAGGAGAATTGATCAGCAGGTCTTCCGGGAAGCATTTTGGGGTGTGTAAAATGATGATTTGCCATAGTGGTTTGTACATACTATAACGTTTTTTTTAATTTGAAATTACACTATCTTAATAAAATTAATAACTTGGATAAAAATGTAGGGATTGTATATATATATATATAACGTTTTTTTTAATTTGAAATTACACTATCTTAATAAAATTAATAACTTGGATAAAAATGTAGGGATTGTTTGGGATTAATGTTATAGTTTATTTTATTTTATTGTTTTTAAGAAATATGATAGTAAATTAACATTCTTTTTAAGAACATTAAAAACAATTTTTGTGAATGTTCAATATGTTGTCATAATTGCTTGTAATCTTTCAATGGAGTAGCAGGACAGATTAACATATAGCTCAGAGATTTACTTCATCCCTTAATGTTGATTCAGAGTTTAACATGGGAGAGATGATGAAGTAGAAAATAGAAGGAACAGAAATGTATTTCAAGGGGAAATTTTTAATTTTCTCCCATGTTTAGCAAAATAAAGGGAACTATTGTTCGTAGTTGGATTGAGTTTTTGTTTAAACATTGTTCGTACTTGGATTAAAAAGGGCTTGAATAATAATTTAGGCATAATTAAAAGAGAGATGGTACGCTACAATTAGAGCAAAATTTAGACACGAGTACAAAATAGATTGAATGAGATTCGAATAAATTTAAATATGATTCCAATATGGTTCCAATGCTGACCGACGTCAACAACCATCGACTGCCATCGAGTACTCCTGTTGCCGTCGACTGCCGCTGACAACCGTCGATCGATGTCGATCACCGCCAACCATCGTAGATCACCACAGATCGGATGCCGTCAGTCAATGTTGTAACTTAGAAAATCTAGTAACTCTTTCTCGCCGTCAGTCTCCTGTGATTTTTTACTTTCTAGATTTTTTTAGGTAAAAACTTACTCTATGTTTAATCTTCATATCATGACTTATTTTAAGACGCAACTTAAAACTCTAAATTAAAATAAAAAGCATAGTTTACATATATAACGCTCAGATTTTGATATTTACACAAAAACACTTGAGGGCCCGGCTGTCAGGGACCGGGGGCGGCAAGTCGGCACCGTACTGGCTAGAAAAGATAAGGCTGGCCGACCAAATCCCAAATCCTCATCCATTCCAGAGTCTATCCGATCATGGAATCTCTTCCTATTTCTTTACAGGGATTCCGCCGACCTCGGATGAAAGGTAAAACCTTTCTTTGTTCTGTTGTCGTAAAACCCTAAAAAAAAACAAATCGAAGCAGTGAGACTTCGTTATCTTAATTTTACATATCTTATTGCTTGTACACCTTTTGTTTTCAAGTACAAGGCTTCAAACGTGGAAGACACTCAAGGATAAATTGGGTGGAAATTTTGTGATTTTGGTGATGATTTCTTCAAGCAACGCCGAGTTGTGAAGGAGGTGATGGCCATGGCGATGCCATTGGGATTTGCAACCTATATAGTGAACATGATCTGGGTATTGCTCGACGGCTGGATATCGTCTTGCGTTATCGTCGCAGATGAAATCGCTCGCGCCCTTCGCACGGGTGATATTGGCCCTTTTCCTGTCGGCTGAATCTTTTCTTCTTGGTTAGTTGCTTTCTCCATCTTTCTATAATTTTTTTTGTTTTCTGTATTCACTTTGGCGTGAGATTGGAAGTTCTATTTGCCTTTCGGAGTTCGGAGTTTTATAAAGTTAATAACGGATTTTCTTGTTCGTTTTATCGCCCAGTGATTGGCTAATTGAAGGTTTGGGGGAGAATTTTCTTTGGGTTATATGAACGCTGATTGAACAACAGTGAAAATTGGCTGGGACATCTTTTTTGATCTAGGGAATAAAATTGATAGATGTAATTTCTGTTTCATGCAAGAAATTCGAAGAACCAGGCTTGTGTTAGGAACTCGTTATCTTCATTGTCTTATAATTTTTGGGCACATATATAGTACAGCAGAAATAGGCTTTTTAACTAGAAAACCTGACCCCTTCCAATTTGCCTTCTTGCTATGCATTTGGGGGAGTGGCCTGGAGGCGAGCTGACCAGATGTTTCATTGTCCGGCTGCAACTTGAATACAATTCATGAAACCCATATTATTTAATATTATTATATGTATTAACGTTACAGGAGGGGGAAGGACTTGTCCTGTGAGCTGCCAGATTGGCCATTTGCTTAATTTTGTCTTTTCATTTATCTTACCATATAATTTCTTTATTTAAGATCGTACAATTGAGTATGTGGATTTAGATGCATTAAAGTCTGTAATACCTCATTATTCAAAAAAAATGTGGAATCCATGTTACTATGAGAGAAATATAAATCTAAAGAAAGAAGTTATACTTGTTTTGTTACAGTTGTTTATGTTATTTCCATTAAAAATATTATTTTAGGAAGCGCCTGAAGATGAAAACAACTAAAGGCATGCTGTGATGAGCATTGAGATGGTATCAGTATTCCTGCCTGAAGATGAAAATAGTTGTAAACCTAAAGATGTCTACTTTAGCGAGCTTAGGGAAAACATTTGAAAGAAACTTGATGTTTACCATAATTGTAGCCTCAAAGCTCTCTATTGAGATTAATCTAAAGGTTGGGGCAACAATAAACCTTAGGATGACAACTATGACCCCTTTGTAAGTAGTGACATTGATAGTCTCGAAGGGAATGATCCAACGATGCTATGGTTTGTGGTTGCAAGTATAGAGGTGACAAGAATGATAGGTTAGAAGGCAATGATAGTCATTGCACATCGGTGTTATGAATGATGGCTTTTGGTGATGTGAGTACTCTAATTAATGGTTTATGGTTAGCCGTGGGAGCTTCAAAAGATCCAAATTCTTAATAGTTATAAATTTCTATTAATCAAATGAAGTTGGATTCATATAAATTTGGCAGTGGTTGATTTTGGTATATACTCTATTAAATTTAATGCTCATTTGAAATCTAACACAACCATTAGATGCTTTATCTTCACATTATTTGAAGTTTTTGCCAAGTTAGGATCGAATCAAACTTGACTCTAGCAGGGTTATTATAAAGATGAAAACACTATGAAAGTTGCTCTAAGTTTGACATGCCAGCTAAGCAAATTGAATTAATTTTAGTTGATTTTGAGCTTTAGTTTGAACTCAAAATTAATTTTGGATATTGCAAGGCTCGCTTAAATGAAGGCTCCCCCGAAATAAAACTCAAAATGGGTATATACATAAACTATGCAATATTTATGATATATAATGTGTAAATTATGCAATATAATATATTTTTTTATATGTAATGCTGACAACTAATTATTATTTTTCTCGAAATCAATTTTGAGTTTTCTTATAATCGAAACATTTTGGGATGTCTTGAGTTGACTCAAATAAATTATAATTTTGAATCAAGTGATGCTTGCTTGAATCAACTTAGTATGAATCTTGGCCCGAGGTAGATTCACTGACTTTCTTGGCCATGGCAAGGGCAGGTAGCTTGTGGTATTGGGCCACTGCTTGCTCCTTTAATGAGCAATTAAAAATATTTTGATCTGTAGATCGACTTTATAATCACAATGATGATGTTGGCTTAGTGGGTTAATTGAAATTTTTTGCGGAAGTAATAAGGTATTTTGCTTTCGCACTTAGATATGTCAAAAACAAGAACTGCACTTATTAGTTATGAGTGTTAAGGAACCTTTCTTCATATTGAGAAATATTGAGATGAGCTCATGATGAGGTGGAATTGAGGGGTTGTAAGAATTTGAAGAATATTCACAGTTAAGGAAATCATTACAAGCGAGTGGGAAAACATAAAGATGGGATATTCATCAACCCCTAATTGGAGGTTACATTTACCACTTGGCAGGATGGCTACTAGCCTGACACAATCATTCAGTTATCTGGTTTGGGTTTGGGCCTATTCGAGCTTCAGTTTGTCTATTTTAGGCTTTGATAGCAATTTTTTAACCAACTTGGACTTTGTCTAGAGGCCAAACAAGCCAATTTATGCTCATTGGGGCACTTGCTCAATCAAAGTGTGGAATTGTTTTATTTTTTTAAAAGATTCATAAAGATTCGTGCTTTCATAAAAAAAGTTTTTTTGTTCTTATGGGAAATTTTAATATTTTAACGGTTTCAATCATCACATTTTGGTGATATTTAATATGTGTGCTTGGGCTTTATATGTCGAGAATGTGAATGCAAGGAAACAAAGAAGTGCTTAAAAAATCTAAATGGATTGTTGTAAATTCATTACGTACAGAAAAAAGTTTTAACTTTTTTTTCACTTGGCATCCATGTATACAATTTAGTTGCATTTTGTATGCATCCATTTTATATTTAGCCATGCAATGATTATCTCTCACGATTCATCCTAGTAGCTTTGAACGGTGCCAAGATGCCTTAGGGATCCCTCTCCTCTTGAGTTGACTTTACGATGAAGTCTGCTAAGACTATATTATCCTTTAGGGCTTGCTTTCCTCTTGAGTAGAATCCGAGACAGTTTTCTAAGACTTGCACTTTAATGACAAAGCGAGGAAGATACTCATTGTTTTACTCACTTAACTTGATCCACCACTTGATGAATTACCTCTAGAGGCTCAAATAAAATTTTGGCTACTCAGCCAACACTCGAATTGAATGAATTTGAAATTATGACCTTAGCATTAGCAAACAAGATTAATGTGCTCACCAACATAGATGAGCTTGGATTTATGGCCTTAAAACTATCAAAAATCCCATGATTTGTTGCACCAATTATCTAGACCCCAAAGAACTCTTTATAGTTGCAATAAAAGTAATGAAACAAAAGTTGAAACTTTAGAAATATGCCAATGAGTTGGAGTGTCTTCTCCTAGAGAACAACCTGCAAAAATGATCATATGGCGAAGTGGAAACAATATTGTAAAGAAGGAACAAGAAAATTTTTGCAAGGATTGTTATTATTAAAAAGTTCTTTGAAATATCTAGACCTTGAGGAATGATTGAAATTTCAGGAAGCTAATTATATGGAAGGCAAAATTTTGGAGTCTCAAACACTGTTTCTAATATTGTTTTTCTATGGAGCTAGCTTTTATTTTTCACCTTAAGTAGACATTAACTTAAAATTGATAACGTAAATTTAAATTGCTGAAAAGACAGCGTGATGAGGCAGTTATTAATACGAATGTATTTGATGCAGCCTTGTCGATACCTGCACTTAATGATGGGTAAGCTTTGGGTGGAAGGACGGAGGTGAGTATATTTTTTTCATTTTTTTTTCATTGGATGAAGGAATTTTGGGAAGGTATTTTACTTGACGTTGTAGAGAGCTTCATGAAACTGTGGGCTAGTTTTTGTGTGGAGACCAATTATATTAAGGTCATGGGGATTGATTAGAAGTGTTCATTGATGCCGTGGACTAGATTAGAATTTATTTAGTATGCCATGAAAGAGCGGTAAAATGGTTTTAGGCTTTGTTTTGAGAGGGCTTACAAAGGTTGTGTTTATCTTTACATTGGAGTTCAAGAAATTTTGAGAACAACTCTAAATCATGAGAGGGGCTAATTTTGATGTCAAAACAGTTCAAAAAATAAGATTAAAAATAAAGCAAGTTAATGAAAATGAACCAAGTCTCAAAATGAAGTTGGGTTGGAGAAGATCGCCAAGTCAGTATCCAAACAATTTGGATTAAAATATTCCTCCATAAATAAGAAAATATTATTCTATATGTTAAATTTATTCAACAACCTCATCTATTGCATGTTTTCAACCATTATATAAAAGGATTATTTAAATTAAAACATAATCTAGCATGTGGGAGACTAAAGGCAACCAGCATTTCCAAGGAAGAGGGGAGCCAAACCTAGAAAATGCATGTATCCACCAAAATTCCTCATTTAGAAAAAGGGGAGGGTGGAAGAGGTATAAAGGATTAGGGTATTTACTTGACTAGTTGATGTGACAACCTTGAACTCAAAATAATGAGCTCGCCATTTGGAGAAAGACTTATGCATGAATTTGTAAGGCCACCTTGCATGATAAAATATACCACGTCATATCATAATTAAGTACTTAAAATTAAAATTAACATCCATTATTAAACTACTGAAAACTCGTGATTTGTTGTGTTAGTCTTGACCTGCTTCAGGAGTGTTTTGAGTTGGAAAACTTGGTAGTGAATTGTTAACACAAAGTGACATATGAACCACCTATGCGCAATATATTTGAATTTATTGGTGAACATCATTGAGTTGATTGGGTTGTTGTCGTAACTTTGACTTTGTATTTGACTTGGAATTGATGAGATGACCAAGTAGGGGAAGACTTATGCATGGGTTTGCAAGACCACCTCACATGATAAATTACACCACACCATAACACAAGTTTTTTAAATTAGTATTACCTTTATAATTAAAATTATAGTCATGAAATTATCACTATTATTAAACTTGATACAAATTGCATGATGTGTTGCGTTAGTCTAGAATGTTTTCTAGTGATTCTTAGTGACATACTTGAAGAAGAACTGCCAATGAAGTGATGAAGAAAGAGATGATGTTAGGAGGTAGGTGCATAAAATATATATAGTAGCCGGCATGATAACCATGGCTTTAATAAGATGCATGGCTATTTTGATTTTAA